GTTCAACACATTCGCTGAGGTATTATTTTTCTCTTGCATTTTGATATAAGCTTGGAAAATTTCAATGCCTATTTTGAAAAACTCTCTTTTCCTCCGAGTGTATGTAGCTAGTAAGCGCGTGCTACTTTCAACGGATAGACCTATCAGCTCACGGTTTTCACATTGTTCCCGATATCGGATTTGACTGGATATCTGGAAAAGGAAACGCATTTAGATATTACACATATGGAGCTGCATTTGCTGAAGTTGAGATAGATACATTGACTGGGGATTTTCACACAAGAGCTGCTGATATAATGTTGGACCTCGGATATTCTCTTAACCCAGCCATTGATGTTGGACAAGTGCGCGTTCTTCTCTCAACCTACTATGCATTTTTGCAACCTTTAAAAACATGTGTTGTATCTGAAATCCTATTTGCAGATAGAAGGAGCGTTTGTACAAGGGCTGGGTTGGGTAGCTTTAGAAGAACTCAAATGGGGAGATGCAGCTCATAAATGGATTCGACCGGGAACTTTACTTACTTGCGGACCCGGAAACTACAAAATACCTTCCATTAACGACATTCCGTTCCACCTCAATGTTTCTCTTCTCAAGGTATGCAACTATAATTACAAGCTTGAAATTGATACCAAGCAAGACAATTGAAACTGAACCTGAGATTTTATACTTAATTAAATCAGGGGAATCCGAATATAAAGGCAATACATTCATCTAAAGCAGTGGGTGAGCCGCCGTTCTTTCTTGCATCATCAGTCTTCTTTGCAATAAAGGAAGCGATCAAAGCGGCTAGAACCGAGGTGGGTCTGACTGACTGGTTCCCTCTGGAGACTCCAGCCACGCCAGAGCGTATCAGGATGGCTTGTTTAGATGAGTTTTCAGCTCCTTTTGTAAGTTCAGATTTCTGTCCTAAGCTTAGTGTTTGAGCTTTTAATTTCATCAAAGGGGCATTAGATCAATTAATCTACTGTGACAAAGTCATACATGTAAGTTATTTCCAGTTTCCAAACAAATGTACATTACAAAGATATGGTTCTCCAAATCAGCAACTTTGTTGACTACAAATGCATCAAGTTGTGAACTTTGGTGGCTTCCTGATCAATGTTGCTTGTTCGAAGCCATAAGCAATCTCAATGAGCTTTGGCTCTGAGAATCTCAATCCTCCAAAGCTAATCCCAAATGGAACTCCTTCACTGTCATATCCTGCAGGGACATTGATTCCTGGATACCCACCAATGGCGAGGACAGGGCTAATCGTCGAACCAAGCATAACTATTGCATCTAAGTTCTTTTCCTTCATTAGCTTTTCGATTCCATTCCTCGAAAGTTCTTCCATTTTATGCAACTCTGCTTTCTCTTTCTCACCCATTCCATTGGTTGATTCTGCTGCAATGAAGATCTCTTGTCCCCATTCTTTCACCTTCTCCTGTGAGTTTTGGGAATTCAATGATTCACATTTTGTTCAGATACTGAGTAAAAATGTGAACTCAATCTCAAAGCTTTCAGTACCTTTTCAGAAAATTCCTTGTTGTAGGCAATAACGTTTGCTAAGGACCGGACTGGTGATTTCGCAAGGTCTTGAAGATATGCATTAAGAGACATCTTGAACTCAGCCAAAAGTGCTATCTCTTCACCGCTCCAATCCATAATGACTTCGAAGTTTGGTATCTTCAGATTGTCAATGACGATCGCGCCTTCTTGTCTTCATCCAAGAGAAAACAGAGAGAGCTACAGTTATATTGTGTTCTCGAGTTTTGATTGGATTGATCAAATCAACTTAACCTTTACCTTTACCTTTACCTTAATGTTTTGATGTGTTGATCAAGAAGAGAATCCTTCACTACAATCCCTAATCTCTTACCCTTGAGGCGATTAGCTTTCAGAAACTGCTTGTAACCGCCGTCCGGTATGAACGCGGACGCAGTCTTTGTGGCCTCGTCCAACGGATCATAACCCACAATAGCATCAAGAAGATGAACAGAATCTGACACTGTCCTACATATTGGCCTAACATTGCAAAACACATAGAAACTTGGCAAAATGGTACAAAAACCAAATAGTTAGTACTAGTGGTGGGTTAGCACTTAGTCTCTCACCCAATACTGTCCTGTCTTAAAGAGATAGGAACCACCCCAGCTCGGCTCGTGAGCCCGACACTCGGTTTAATCCCAACCACCGAGTTCCGACTCGCCGGAGAAAGTATGGAACCATCAGTTTCAGTCCCTAGTGACACAGCCACAAGATTTGCTGCTACGGATATAGCTGATCCACTACTTGACCCACCAGGATCTGCTGATAGAACATATGGATTCTGCAACATTTAAAGATATGTTGAAACATTTTTTGGTTAAAGATTATAACTTTTTGTAGGATTGTTAGTAAAGTTGCAAACTTGATTAAATTATGATTGGAGTGACGAATCATGGAATGAAAAATTTGACCTTTCCTTGGAGACCACGTGCGCTCCAACCATTTGGGATGAAATTAGAACGGAAATTAGCCCATTCGCTTAAACTGGCTTTGCCCAAGATCACAGCACCAGATTCTCTCAGCTTCTTGACAACACTAGCGTCTCGAGCCACGACTGAACCGAGCAAAGCGAACGAACCAGCGGTCGTGTTAAGCTTGTCTTTGGTGGATATGGAGTCTTTGAGCAGAACAGGAACACCGTGCAAGATAGGTAGTTGAGTGATGTCTTTAAGGTTGCGTTCTCTATCTGCGATCTCTGCTTGGATCAACGCATCTGGATTCGTCTCGATGACTGCGTGAAGTATCGGATTGAGTTTTGAGATTGATTCGAGATAGAACTCAACGAGCTGCTTTGATGTTAGTTTCTTTTCTTTGAAAGCAAGTCTAATGTCTTTAATGGTGGCTTCTTGGAAATGGAATTTTGAAGTGGATTTGATCTGAGAGGTAGAACCATATT